TACCACACACACACACACACACACACACACACACACACACACACACACACACACACACACACACACACACACACACACACACACACACACACACACACACACACACACACACACACCACCACCACACCTACACATTGTACAACTAACACAAAGAGCTCCTAAAGCATATACTAAATATCAGGGTACAGCCCTTGTATATTTTATTATGTGAAGAACTATATGGTTTCATGAAAAATATCTACTGTTTATTTGTAGATATCTCCTAAAGCCTAAAAATAAAGTGTGAAATGTAGGCCTGTTACATATATCATTGAGCGATATATGTTATACACACTGTTCTGCTTTCTGCACTGACCTCAGCAGCTGTTCTCCCTGTAAACATCGCCTCACAATGAAAGCAGTTGTATTAAAAACAAAATAGCCTAACTTCCAGGGGAGATGTGATTAGTGAGTAAACAAACGGTAAAGGGCAGAAAGTCTGATGCGCATTTGATCATCTCAAATAACTCATAATCACAACGGGAACAGTTTGCAGAGCTGTGCTTGGTTGACATAAGTCCAGCCATGCGTCACACCTCTTTTAAACATCACTGTTGGCTGAAATCGTCTCCGGAGAATACATCAGTGTACCCTCGGTCATAGCTCCTCCAGAGACACTCCTCTCTCCTCTCTCTACATCTTTGTACCCTCGGTGATAGCTCCTCCAGAGAGACTCCTCTCTCCTTTCTCCTCTAAATCAGTGTATCCTCGGTTACGGCTCCTCCAGACAGCCTCCTCGATGATCGATCCTCGACGACCCTTTAGAGAAATTAGTTTTCCTTCCAGACGGCGCGCCGACATCCGTTTCCGGGTCGCTGCCGGAGGACCTGGGTGTTTGGGACGCGAAAATTATAGAAATGAGAAACGGCTATTTTCCCAGGACTCGCGCGCGTCTGCTCGACGCCGGGACGACCGGCTGCCCTCCCCGACAGGCGCAAGGACGCGAGGGCCCGCTCATCACTGCGCGCACAAGTGCGACCGCAGTTTTAATTATTCTTTACTTTTAGTTTATATTGATAAAGCACACATTCCAAATGCCATTGGACATTTTGCAGTTCCATTTCTCCCTGTATTGACAATTCTCAATAAAGTGCTGATTCTTACCCGATATATATTTAACAACAGTCAGCACTTACTTTCCTTTTTTTATTTTAAATCTGTCATTATTTGGCCATGCTTTAAATGCCCACCAACATTGATAATACAAAGTCAACCCTCTATTTCAGTTTGCCAAAATCTATACATAAAACTACCACTTCAACTTCTTTTCTGTTGAGAAAAACTACTGAATTATGCACATACTTTATAACTTTGAGTAGATGGCGGATCTGCCTGGAGGTCAGAGCTGGAAGATGGAAGGTGTGAAACGGAGGGAGAGGGCGCTGGTCCCTCCCGTCACAGATAAGACAGCCAAAAATGATGGTGCCAAATGGCAGCAGAAGAGAAAAGGGCAAATTATCTGATATATCAGCGGCTTTGAAATCGCTGTGAATACCAACAGGGAATAAACAAGATACTCTACCACTCTGGCACTTTGGATGGATGGGTTACACTTTAACCTTTACCATTCTTTGTCCCAGTTTGAGGTGGCTGTTCTCTTTTGTGCTGTGATATTTTCAGCATGTGGAACAAGATGGAGTCCTGCTGTAAGAATAGATCAAAAATAAAAATAGAAATCTCATCATACATGTTGGCTTGATGCTCTTTATCAAACAGCAGCACATGTTGAGATTAAAGAAACCATCACAAAGTGAGTGACACTTTAATTATTTTTCTCTGAGGACTAAATGCATACAGTCAGATGGAGATGTTCAGCATGTCATAGGATCATTTAAATATATTGCAATAGAAATACAGAAAAAATACAGATATGATATTTTTCTCAATTCAGATCTATTTTTCTTCAAACATCAACATATTATGAAAGAACAAATGCATGCTCAAACATGGATGATGGCTTTTGACTTTGTCATGTGGTATTTAGCTGCATACATCCCTCCGCAGATTATCTTCTCTGCGCTCCTGTTGTGGTGATGGTGGCTGTTGGTGTCTGACAGGTGGTGCAGCCTGGCGTTTTGACCTCTGAGATTTGTCCTCTTATGTGTGAGTGTGAGCTGACAGCAGTTTAATGCCTTGTTTTAAGTCCTGCCGTTGAAGGAGAGAAAAGGAGACAGAGAGAAGACTGCTGCTGCACTGCACACCAGTCCCCTAAACCGAAGCAGCTCTGCATAGCACAGCCTCATCAGCTGTCAAAGAAACCTCTCAACAATATTCCTCCCCAAAGTAATTTAATAAACCTGTCTCAATCTTGTTATTGTTATCTGTAGCTTTCCTCTACATGTGTCCCCGCACATTTCACTAATCTGTCCTTGGCCTCCATTTTATTTTTCTCATTCACTGGAAAATCATTGACCCAAACTCACCTGTATTTCTCTTCATTCTGTAGCTCACTTTTAATAGGTTTTCAGTGGCATAGCAAACTCAAAGGCATCATAATCAGTTTTAAAACTAAAGGAATTAGTCAATGTTTTTGTGTTATGTGCTCAACCAACTTTCTGTAATGCATGAAACATTTATTCTAGTGAATAAAAAAATAAATAAAAAAGGGAAAATAATGAAATATCATGAAAATGTGTCGTCTCTAATGCTTAGTCCTTTTTTCATGTTTCATTAACCATCTAATCTGCAACTCTGCAATGCAACAGGGTGATGCATATACCAGTCACTATAAAGATCAAAAGTAAATTTTTCTAACAGTAGGTATTTTTAAATATTCTAATATTATAGTATAATGCAAACTTTGCTGAATCAACATGGAAAAAACCTCACTTATAAGCGAGGTATCAGATGGGTGAAATCAAGAAATTAAATGGTATAAGTGCGCATTCCTGATGCATTGTATGCAATTTTCTTTTGTAGAAATAAGTATGGCTCACAGCATTCGGCTGAAAACCACCATCACCTGCAATTTACTTCCATCTTTCATTTGCTACATTGGAAATAGCATGAAGAAAAGAAAGAAATCACATGATATGTGATCACTGCTGAAGCTGAGTAGCTGAGTAATTTGAATCCCCTTATTATTTTCTATTACAAAGTCCCTAAGTAGACCATCTCGCAATGCTGCAATTTCTGCCTGTGAGTCCAGCTACACTCCCACTGAGTTCCAGGACTTTCATCTGAGGTCTTTTCAGAGATAACAACCCGCAGTCGGGGAGGTTATTGCTGAAATTCAACGTGACTTTACATCACTTTTGAACTACCTTATCATGAAGCTAACAGAGTAAGATGATGAACGTGGCTACATTGATGCTGCTTTCTCAGGTTCCCCTTTTGCATATTTTATTGTATTTACTTTCACTATTTTATCTGTTTTATTGTGTTGCACTGTTGGAGGAGCCTGGAACCTAAGATTTTCATCGACATAACTACACTGTAGCTATAGAATGACAATAAAAGCCTTGAATCTTGAATCCTGAATCTTTGCTCAACATGTTGTCTCTATACTGGTAGACCCTCACGCATCCAAGCTCTAATTCCTGAGCGATTGCTAGACAAATGATTCAAACTCAATAATCAGTTATTACAGGTAACCACAAGATATTAAAGGCTACAAGGGAACATTTCAAAGCTACTTATTAGGGATTCCAAAACGAGCTGTTGGGTCTGTGTGTGTTATAAGAACAGGGTATAATTCATACTGACGGAAAGTCAGTGTTCTCTTGCTCAAAGTGCCTTCCCCCCGGTGCCATGCTCTTTCAGTATGCACACAATTTAGAAAGTGAGTGTGTTGAGCTGTTACCTCAGCTCTGCATTGTATCTGCGAACTAAAACCAAATATGTGTGCATGTCAACACTCTCATTGTGTTAACTGGATTATGTTCACTAGATATTTTTGTCCAGTACTACTTATAGGGAAATTGTTATGGATGATTGCTGCGTGTTGAGCACAAAAAACAAGGTAACGAAAGCACTTCAGTTTGGAAAGGATCATGATTTTGGTTAAATATTTTTACAGTAAACTATGTCCGTTGGTCTGTTGGTGTTGTTTGCAGTGTTAAAGGAATATTTACCTATATATACCTACAGTACTTACAACTTCTAACCTTATGGATCAACACGTATCTTGGTATTTAAATCTTTAAGTTGCATGGCATTAAAAGGGACAGATGTAACTGGTGTTGCGCACTATATGGCCCTACTAACGTGGGTTGTTAAAATAACAACAGAAACAACGTCTCCATCTATATCTTTTGGTAAGATGTATGCATATGATTCATATTTTAAAACAAGGCTGAAAATGGGCAGTCTAATGGACTTTTTTTTGCCACAATGTTTCCAGCTTTGACTAAGTTTGGGGACATTTCTATGCAGAACGTATAAAGTTTCTCATGCATCCATCTGTGTGAGAACATGACAGGGGTGGGTGTAACAAGCTACGGAGAGGAAATTGTGGCTGGCCAGGTTGTTTACCTCAGTGAACACGGGATAGAGGCACTAAATTGAAAGAAAGGATTATAGAGGAAATCCGGATAGATATCAGAGGATGTCTACTTCAAAAAGGAGCTCAGTCAACAAACCCAGCCCCTTTCTCATCTCAGTTAAATTACACCCTTCCTATCTTCCTCCTGTCTCACAATATCTACCGCTCTCGGAACAATTCAATATGCAGCGTGAGTATCCTAGTCTTACACTTCTTAACACCCTCCTCTCAGGAGCTGGATTTTCTCCTGCAGAATCTCCTCCTGGGGCACTTTAGAGTGTTCCTTTGACTCCGAGTTGAGAATGGCTCTGATATCATGAGGCTGTGCTGATTTGGCCGTTAGATTATGGCCAGAAATTCTCAGGTCCAGCAAAGATAAATCCAGACCAGGTGACTATAGAAAAAAAAGTGTGTCTGCTGGGAGTTTGAACAACCTGGGATATCTGATACTTGAAGCCGTGATCAGAAGAGAACCACGGAAAGTCTGAAGTCCTCTCGCGTACAACCCAGATACACCAAGCTTATCTTTCAACTTCATAAAGAGCCAATGTGTTGCTCCTAAGGGAGGATGGTGCACACGGTCGTGGAAAGATCTCACTGTTCCCCAAGGAAGGTAGAAACAAACCTGAGGGGGTCAGCTTTAGATAGTGATAGCAGCCGGGCAGCTCGGACGAGTCTTTGACCAACAAGAATTTAACGTTCAGCGTCAACACCTTATAATACAGTACATACATGATTGATGATGCACTGGAGCGTTGGATTGATTGCTAAATGGATTCTCTGTACTTAAAAAGATACACATGATAACAGTGATGGGTAGATAGAAAGTGACAACAATTGTATATCTGTCTTTGCTGTCTGAAAAATATGTGCAGGAAAATTGCTGATTTAGATAATAATTTTGATATAAAACCTTAATAAATCCATACTTATTGGGCTTTGTAAATTTGCAGCAAAACAAATGTATTTTTTGGCCTAAACATTATATCAAACAATTGAAATTGAATGGACAAGCCAGTCCTTTATCTCGTAGCCTACAGTGTATCTTATTCATAAAATAAAAATACAGCTGGTGTGTGGTAATTTTGCTCTGAGTGCCTTAAAAACACATCAATCAAACCGGAGCATTTACAGCATTTCATATGTTGCATTAGTAGGGCGTTTTAATAGTACCTATGAATTATCACCATCACATGGAAACATCATTTCGGCATAATAATTGGTGCTCTTAGTTATTAGACCACATAATAAAGGCTGTTTTATGAATTGTCGAATACAAGTCTTATTTCATGATAAACCAAGTGAATGGTCTTGTTAACCTCAAACATGTTTGTGATTAAAGGTGGGATAGGTAATTTTGGAGAAACCAGCTCGAGTGCGCTAGAATTTGAAAATACACAGCCGGAAAAAATCTGCCACTTCCTTACAGAGCCCCTCCTCCAACACACATGAACGTGCACATGACCAATGAGGGCACGAGATAAGTTTGTGCACAGATGGAAGGCTGAAAGGCAGGTATGCCATTCAGTTCTTTTAGCCGGCCCGGCTAAAATGATTGGTCGTGCTTTTTACAGTACTACGGCTTCCACAGATGACATTTTTGTATGGATCTTTTGTCAAAGCACTTAAGATATTCATTACTATAGGGATGTTAAGAGCATTCCATGGAATATAACAAAAAGTGTATCTCGAGCCGGTTTCTCAAACTTACCTACCCCACTTAAGCTTGGCACACAGAAAAGAGCAGGAAATAAAAACAGAGAAAGGGAAGTGATGACACTGTTGTGTTTTTGAAGGGATGTTGAAGATCACCTGTCTCATTCATAGGTGCAAAAATCCCCTCTCAAATCACTTTTTATTGATGGTAACTAAGGAAGGAAACATAATCTATTTCACCCTGAAAACCCCTGTTAAGATTAAACTTCATAATCCCTTTTCACTGAATAATTTCACAATCATAGATAAGAGATAATGCTCAGTGAAACAGGTTACCCAAAATATCACAGGGCGCGGTTTCTCGGAAGTTAGAATAATCCTTTATGCCCAACTCAATTTAAAATATCGTTGTCTAATACTCAATATGCAACATTTGAATATAGAGTTTGTGAGGCGTATACAGACTGTATATTGAACCGCAAAAGGAACTGAATCGGCACCATATGACATATTTCTCCTATTTAATGGGTAAAAAAGAGTGGATAATATTGTGAGCCTGCATACCGTTTCACCACATAAAAACTGGTGATTTATTAACCCTCCTACTGTCTTCGTGTTCCCCCCCTTAATTTGGTGTTTGCGGTCAAATTGGACCGGTCCTGTTTAAACTGCTATTACATTAACACAAAAACCATTAATCATCACCAAATGTCATTTGACACCCTTTCCAACTGTAAATGTTGTATCAGACTACTGGTATACATGAAAAACTGCAGTAAATATACAAAGAATAGGCACTGAACACGTATTGCGTGTGCCAGGTGTGATCCATGTGGGGGGATGGGCACATAAGAGTGGGAAATGTATCAAATTGTTCTGTGTGTGTTTGTGTGTGTTTGTGTGTGCCAGGTGTGATTCACACGTGGGGATGTGGGGATGGGCACATAAGGGGGGGGGGACATCTAGAGTATGTGTGTGTGTGTGTGTGTGTGTGTGTGTGTGTGTGTGTGTGTGTGTGTGTGTGTGTGTGTGTGTGTGTGTGTGTGTGTGTGTGTGTGTGTGTGTGTTCTATCTGATCCGGATGGTTACTAATTCCTTTTCTTTATGGCGGTCATTTTTGACCGGGAACACCATGGGTGTTACAAAGTTGACTAAATCATCCAAAATTAAATGAAAGTGTCGATCAGCAATTGTATATGTTCAAATGTCTACTGTGAAGGATATCATAAAGCCTTAATGCAATCGAATGTAAAACAAAAAAGTTATGATTGATGAAAGTAGTAAATCGGTCAGATTTGACCCGAAGACAACAGGAGGGTTGGGAACCCTGGATTTCAGAGCGGGATGGAGGCACATGCAAATTTAGATATTGCATTTTCTGTTTAGAGCTGGATGCACAGTTCTAGGCAAAACCTTTTACCTGTTGATACAAATATAATGATGACTTTAATATCCGTAAGTGGTATATTGTGAATACACAAATAAAAAATGCATGATCCTTAACTGTTTGTATATCAACCATTGTTGTTTTGAAATCACGATGTAATTATCTCATTATGATGTAACAACAACAAAAGGCCCTCCGGCCTACCTACATCTTCATTATGTAAATATCTTAGTTATAGCTTGTTATCATGATGATGCACTTCATGCTGTGTATCTGTGACTTTACTCTCTCTGTGTGATACTGACTGATCATCTTCTTTCATTTCTATTATAACAATATCAACGCTTAATTTGATCATTTAAGACTTTTTAGGTTGGAAGTTATTTTTGCAAATCATGCAAATACCATGGAAATCTCCAGCTCTTAAACATTTTTTTTTATTTAGCTTTGTGAAAATCCATAGAAAGCTCCCATACCATATTATTTATTTTAAACTTATCAAAAATAATAACGTTTCTTTCTTTCTTTTGTACTTCTTATACCATACCCCATATAAATTATCAGTCTATTGTTATTACATTTGTCATCTAATAATTAATTGTCCTTTTTAAAATTAGTTTTCTATCCCTTAAAATCTTATTTTAAACACTAAATACTAAAATTGGATATGTAATAAATAAAGTCTGAAACTATGTTAAGGCTGGAACAAGTGTTTGCGACTTCATTTTACCCTTGTGAGGATACATTTAAGGTAGGCCAAATATGTGACTAACAGCAGAAGAATACCCTGGACCCCATCCATCACAACCAGTCAGGCTTAAATTCACAGACATAGTTTTTAATTCATCTAAGCTGTGTGTTTCAGACTGTGGGAGGAAACACTCAAAATGGTTAGACTTCCAGACAAACTGCTCTAATGTAACATTGTCATCCACCTTAAGATGTGTGGATAAACAAAAAAAGAAATGTCTTGACACATCAGATACTATTGAAGATAGGCTACATTATGACACAGGCAGAAAATGCAACATCAATCAGTTGTGTAATTAAGCTGTGATTTGACAAGAAATGCTTAATGTTATCACACAAATGAGACCATTAAAAGATAATGACATACCTCAAACTCAATCTCAAGACAGTAAAATATAAATTTGCAACCGCAGCCGCCCTGAGCTACTGCACAATGCAGAGTTCCTCCTGATTCAGCAATCGTAATCAGGCTGTGTGGAACATTTCTGTTTGACATAATTAGGGCCCAAGCAAGTCAGAGTGGAGGACATATTAAAATTGGCAAGATTATTAATATTATAATTATTTTTAGCGTTTGGACGCATTTTTGAGTTGGTTGCCATATTCAAAAACTCATGAAGGTTTGGACATGTGGGGGGATAGGCAACACTTTAACGAGATTTAGTCCGATCTACTTAAGATTTGGTCAGGACAATCTGAAGGCTTTGAGGATGAAAAGTCATCAAAATCTTGAGTTTTCGTGAAATGATCTTCCTGTGGCGCGGCAGCCATTTTGCACAGTTTAACCATGAAACAGGAAGTTGGTGTATCTCCAGTGTACATAATCTAATCAGCTCTAAATTTGAAGAGCATTACAAGCGTCAAGCCATGACACCATTAAAATAGCAACAGTGAACCAAAGTCATACCACGACATACTGGCAACAAATTTGCTGTGCCGTAGCAGCCGTAGCGGCCGTAGCGGCCGTAGCGGCCGTAGCGGCCGTGTTGGCGATTCGCCCAAAACAGACTTTGTTCAATTGGCACCAAATGACATGAGAATGATGATGGTCCAGCCCTGAATACATCTACAGGCCAATGATGTGGATTTCCCTGTCCCCTACACTTAGCCACGCCCCTTTTCATAAATCAAGAACAGTTTGTCATAGACTCTTGTGGAAGTTGTCAATGCCCTCAGCAGAGATTTCCTGTTACGTTGATAACAATGTGCGCCGCACCAAAACGTTTTCCCCACCTCCCTCGATAATTGGTGAACAGTTTGTCGAAGACTCTTGTGAGAGGAATCATACTGTACCAGTCAGCACGTTGCACCTGAGTTATTGGTGAGACTTTGCCCCGTCCCCTACATTTAATTTCAGCCCACTCACATGACTCATGTAACATTTGTAGCACCACTAGCAAGAGGTATGTTCCACTAAGAGACGCGTTCATCTCTTCTCGCAGCTTTAATTGACATTTTTGTCAAGGGAGAGAAGATGTTGTAATATGTTCAATAAAATCAGTAGAAATATTGAGCACGCTGTTTATTTTTGGAATGTGCTGCTAGCCATTCTTCCCTTTTGATGATCAGAGAGAGCCTCACCTGGTCATTGAAAAAATGTGGAATTTTCAATGAGTTATAAAAGAAAATCTGCTCAACTAGTGATGTGATACAATGCTGCATTGAATTTACGTTATTTGATCACATGACATAGAAGCTATTGGAATAAACAGGACTTTTGTTTATAATACAAAATAAATGTTCAATACAATTGTAAATTAAATTTCATTGATTCATTTATTTAAACATCTATTCAGAACTGTGTTGCCCGTGTGTTGCTCTCCCCAGTTAATAACTCGCAAATATAGACAATTATTTATGTCCAATAATGAATAAAGTAAAATGTAATACTTGAAGTTTCATTTAGACACTTCTGGTCGGTATAATATAGTATAGTTGATTTTGTTTAACTTGGAGGTGAAATATCAAGCATGTTTTCTTTAGACATTATTAGTTTATAAAATCAGAGCCTTTCTATTATTCATCAGAGAAGATTAAGTCGTTGACATTTATTCCAGAAGGAGAGATGACTTGGAAGGATAATCCTAAATTGACATATTTTAGTTACTGAGGCTACTGTGTTATGTCTTGTCACCAGGAGCTACCAGCTGAAGTTCGATGAAAGTGCCTTTGATTGTATCTTCAACTGTTTGACATTTAAACATTCGCATAGCGTTCACATGGTTTTGTTGGGTGCTGTAATGACTCTAAACGTACATTTTCTTATTAAAGGTCACACGGTGAAGAACTTAACTAAAGTGGTTCCCTCTAAGAGTTACAAGTGTGGTTTGCTTTGATTATCCTGTCTTTATTACCAGAAACAAAGGAGCCAAAGTGTAATGGCCTCAACAGTGTGTTACAGCCTACCTGTAAACAATAATCCATCCAGCTATATGTGTACAAAAGTAATATTTACTATACATTTAGCCAATAACTTATATGGACCCAGGATGTAAAATATAACAGAAGCTGGGGCTGACATTAGACGATTAGCCAGTTAGCTACAATATTTTTCCGTAGAATGTATTTGCCATTAGCCAATGTGTTAATCAATATTATTATAATATTTCACTATAAACACTCAAGACAAATAAATCCTACTTTTCCACTAAATGAAGAGACACGTTTGAATACAACTTCTTTGGCCGTTATCATTGTATTTTACGATACAACAAATCAGACTTCCTTAGAGAAAGAATGGTAGCTGACGTTACAGTCAAACTAAGGAAATATTGAAACTAGGAACTAATAACTTGGGAAAGTAAAACACAACAGCTGGGTATTCCTGCAGTCTATAAGTCACAAAATGTAAATAAAATGGCTGTTCTTGTTACTGCTTTTCCTGTGCAAAGAAACACATTAATTATTGGATTTACATTGAGCTCCCCAAAACCTCATTAGTGAACTGCTGCCTCCATAATGACATCCACATCAGACAGCACACACTAAACAAACATACGAAAATAGAAGTGCTGGAATACCGGCAATAGGAGGGGCAGAGAAGCTGCATGAGTATGTGTGTGATATTGAGAGGGAGCAGGCGGAGGAGTCACTCTGAGAACTCCCCGCAGTCTCCTAGAATATTCCCTTGACATTATACTCCCAAGATTTCTCCACGCTTTATGTGAAACGTGTTACCTCTTTGAAAGACCAACAGAATAGACCCTTGGTGACATCAATAAGGCCCCTGCAGTCACACAGCAGAGAGAAAGGGAAAACTAATTCTCAGCTGATGTTTGTGCTCCCATAGCGCCCCTGTCGGTCGTTCTGGGAGCACAGAGTTTGGTGTAATGTACAGTACTGTAGTGGTAAAGGGGAAAACTGGCTAACAGTCTCTAATATATATGAGTAAAACTTTCTTCAACACACACTTAAAGATGCTGCTCCATGAGGACAAGGCAATACAAATACAATGTGTTCTTTTTTTACTGAGGTTTAGGAAGAGATAGAGATTTTATTAACAAAATATCGTCTAATGGCATCAACCATGCTTTATTGCAGACCATAACGCCAAAATGGCTGATGGATGTCGTTAAAATAGACTACAAAGAGTGACAATAATTGCGTGCTTCGATATATGAGTCTTTTCTAAGTTGAATTTCCATCCCCTCA